AAACTTTTTCTCTAAGGTATGGAAACACATACTTAATTGTCCAATTAGATTTGTACATTTTTTGATCGGATATATTCATCAATTTCAGACACACGATGCAACAGCAATAACAAATATTTGCATTATTTTGATTACATTAAGATACATTTTTGTGATTTTTTCTTCAATAATGTGACTACTTGCTTGAATATTATTTCATCGTCAGTTTTAAATTTTATTTCAATGCACGCTTCCCTAGATTCACTCATTCTATTTTAACGGGGCTCTCGTAATATGCAGATATGGGATGTTTACCAAACTGATTTTTTCTACAAACCGAGCAAAGAAGAACAATGCTAATCATGAAGACAACCGAAACGTCAGGTTCATAATTATGAAATGCCGGCTTGTAAGAGCTGTGACTAAACGAGCCAAAAAACCTGTATTATGTTAATGAATGAGCTGATTGAGATTACGATTATACTGAAGAAAGGCGATATTTTATGTTATCAAGTAAACGTTGCGGGCATAGGCGCGCAAGGTCTAAAACACGAACTGCCAACTGCATTTCTGTGCTCCCTTTTCCATTGGACGTTTTTTGTGTTTGTATACGAGGGCTGATAAATACGCGGACTGACATCATAAAACAAAATGCACTTTACTTAAAGTTAGAGATCTGGATTCGCTTAAAAGTACTCTCCTCTCCAACGCACATAGTTATCCCAATGGTGTTTCCACTTGTTGAAACCGTCATCGTACTCTCCTTTCTTAATGTCCCTCAGCTCCTTCCTCGCATTTGCCATAATCTTGGGAATCATCTCAAATCTTCTTCCTTTCACGGGTTTTTTGAATTTGGGGAACAAAGAAAGGAGCAACGTCAGGTGCATGATGGAAATGTCATGATGGAAAAACCAGTCGCCACTCCCTCATATTTCTGACCTTCTCCGACGGGTGGCGTCACTCAGATGTTTCCAAACTTCAATATAGTAATTTTGGTTCACTGTGGAGCCTTCTGGGATAGTCTTGGTGATCAACGCACTTAGAATAACGAACTGTCAGAATCAGTTTGACCTTGGACCGAACGTGGCGAGCGTTTTTGGGTCTGGGGAACGTTTCAACCCTTCACTGCGACGATTGGACCTGTGTTTCAATGTCATAACCACAAACCCACGATTCATCACCGGTTATGATCTTTGACAATACGTTTTCTCTTCATCTGAACGATCAAGCAGTTCCTGACAAAGTTAGACAGGATGAACTTTTTGTTCCTCCGTCATTAGGCGTGGCACAAATTTCACAACAACGCGGTGCATCTTTAATTTCTGAGGAACAACCTCATGACGTGCTTCAGCTGATATCCCACCTTCAGAAAGCTCTCTGACAGTCAGAAGTCGATTTCCTCGCACCAGGCAGTTGATTTTGTCGACGTGTGGGTCGTCAGTTGACCTGAAAGGACATCCAGGACGCTCATCATCTTCAATGGACTGTCGACGATATTTAAAACGTCCATGCTACTTGAAACACGCCGTACGTTTCAAAGCAACATCTCTGTAAGTCGTGTTAAAAAGCACATAGAACGTTTCTGTCGCAGATTTTTCTAGTTGAACACAAAAATTCAAAATTTCATAATTAAATTGGCATTGATTAAGTAATAGGCCGAGTGGACGATTGAACGAATAATAGGATGATTGGCTCTGAATATCATTTATCATCTCACAAGCAAAGAGTAACAGGATTTAAATCAAATTCTCCAAACACCTTTCTCCGCATTATTTTCTTTTATACATATGTATACTAATATATTTTTCCCAATACAATTTATTTGGGCCTGTGAATTATTTCAAGGTAGTGCAGTTCTTATTGTACATATCTACTACGTCCGCTGCAGAGGACGCACAAATGAACTATCATGACGCGCCATAACGTTTCTAATTAACATAGAATGGTATAAAATTTACATTCGAAAAGCAGCCAAGGTTGTTTCTACTCTTATCGCGTGATCCTTGCGGAGAAAGATCTAAGTAGGTAAAGGAAATCTTTGAAAATGATTCGAAACCTACATACTAAAATAGGAACTTAGGAAATGTAACTAACTTATGTTTAACTAACCTTTAAAATTTATTTGGTCGTAAGAAATGCCTATTATTATTGTCTTCGAATTTCTTCATCGAAATTGACATACCACACCGCTCTCCGTCGTGTTGCGTTACGTAACACAACTAGAAGTTAGCGGGCGCAGCTTTGCCTCTTTGCGGGCGTCGTTGACTAGGAGGTAATGGGGTTCAAGTGTGGACGGATTTTAATCACCTTCTGGATGATTACCACCACCAGGGGTTCAATCACTAACTGGGGGAGAATTTTGGCGGCAGGTTGCTCTGGGTACTTTTCGTCACTTCTCCTATCAATACTAGAGGAATGCCGTAGGAGTAGCTGCTAAACAAACCGGCCGTGTACTGTACTTCTTTCCTCTTCCTTGTCTAATCCTTACCCCTTATTTTTGCAATGAATAATAAATACATGTTCTGATATTTAATTTTTTGGTAGTGTTTTAACCAGAAAAAAAATGTTTCGTCACTACCAGCCGATTTTGAAAATCGTGATGTCGATTTTCCATTTCGACATCATTTCCCAATTTAATATCGTCTTTCTATTTCGATATCGTATTTCGATTTCCCATTTCCATGTTGATTTCCGAATTTATTATCGACTTTCTATTTCGATATCATATTTCGTTATCGATTTCCCATTGCGATTTCGATATCCGGATTCGACATCGATTTCCCATTCCGATATCGGTTTCAAATTTCGATGCCGATTTCCCATTTCAATAATAGAATCTCATATTGATATGCCGTTTTGATATCAATTTCCCATTTTGATATCGATTTTTTTATTTTTTGTGATTTAATTTTTTTCGATATCTTTTTCCATTACAATATGAATTTCTCATTTCAATATCAATTAGCCATTGCGATATCGATTTCCCATATTAAGATTGATTTTCCTAAAACAGTGAGAGAGGATACCTATATTTCTGTGCCCGCTTTTCCACTTAACTTTGTTACATTTAGAATACTTTACTAATAAATAAATTATATTACAAACAGAATTAAAATATAACGTTAATTATTAATAATACAAAATGGAAGTATCTTTTTGTTCAAATACTTTCAGGGTTGCCAGACCTAATGTGCCTCTTCCCCAAACGTATATGTAATTCCGTAACTGTACTGGGTTTGGCAAATTAATTTAAATTATTGAAAAAAAAATCTAATTACTCGTCTTTATCTTGTTTATCATACTTTTTAAAATATTACACACATAAAGTAATAATGGTACCAGTTATTTCTAAAGTGTACTAAAGGTAATAACACATTAACAAATCCCTTGTTGTCAGTTTAAAACAAGGAATACTCGGGATTGAAAATATTTATGGACACAAAATATTTTATCACGTGCGGATATGAGGCCCCATTGAAAATGGTCAGGGGGCGTGGTTCCCGCATCCCGCCTACGCACACGTCCATCTTTTCAGATCGTTCAGAAAGGAACCAGGATATTAACACTGAATCTATATGATTTGGTTCACAATCTTGGTTTACCTCGACTCACAGGCAAATTACTTGCTCAAGATGGAAAGGTTGGAATTTCCTACAGGACGACAACAAAGTTAGTTCTTTCCATCAATGCCTGAGCATGTTTTCTAATTAGGATGATTTGTAATAATACTGATTCTCTGATAGAGTGGCATAAGAATAATTGTGAAACATAGAGTCATGAGATTTAGTGTGTCTTTAAAAATATATCAAGGATTAGATACTAAAATAAGCTCAAGGACTCGCATCTTCATTTTTTCCCTGAAAACCTTGACAATGTCATCAACAAACACATGGCAATTATTAACAATGGACAACATTCAAATGGAATTGCGCTACCAGAGAAAATTGTCTCCAATTACATTGGCCACTCAGAAGAGATGTTCATGTGAAGTATAGGCAAAATAGTTATAGATAAGTAAATATTATTCCAGATAAGATATGTGTACTTGCCAGAAATGTTTATCAAATGATTACTCAAAAACCTTGAGTAATGGAAAAGTTCAGTAAAGAGATTTGAAGTCAGTAAGAATCAGTCATTATTTCTCATTTAACATAAAAAATCTTAATTTTGTTTACCAATGTAATGTGCCCCTTGCTGAAAGAATTTCAGGATCCGTCCATTTGAGAATTAATTTTTTGGACTTCGTTCACAAAGAAGAGCAGACACCTTCACTCAATATAGAAGTAGGTGGATGTACATGTCAGTTATTTGTAATTTATCTACTCTCTTAAGACAAGAAAAAGGTTGAACAATATTCTTGAAATGAGAATGAACAACAGTATGATCTTAAAGATTCCTTAGAAATGCAAAATAAAATAGCAAGAAGTGGGTAAAAATTTTACTTCATAATAAAATATGATGATTGCTAATTAAAAAATTGCTGCTTTTTTAACATTTCAATTTTTTTTCATTTCAAACCAATTAGTGAAACTCCTATTTTGAAATTTTAATTTGCGATGGCCTCATAACAACGGCTAGCGGCATGCCTGGCAGGATCAGGTTTCAATACCCAACTAATCCATGTGACACTTGTAGTGGACTAAGCAAGCTCTCGGCTGGCTTTCTTAGGACTGTCCTGATTCTCTGCCTGGGAGAGGGGGAACTTCAAAAGAAGACCCACATCTGTACATAATAAAACATTTTATTTCCATAAATGTGATCAATTCCAGATTTTTCCCTTTTTACGCTGACAATAAATGACATTTGGGGAAGACACTCTTTGACAATCCTGTAAATGGTTCAACATAAAGTCTACAGTATTTATTAATTGTATCATTAAAATTAATTACATTCTCTTTGTATTGATTTATTTATTTCCTAGTAAAATATGCCATGTGGAAATAGAAAATTTTAATGGACTAGGGGGCTCAGAGAAATGAAATTGTATGTAGAAATTTATGTTTTTTTAATGTATGAAAAATGCTTGAAATAGATCATGAGTGAAACTAACCAAATAGGAAACTTACCTAATTTTAAATGATGAACTGCTTTATTCATTAAAGAGAATTTTCATTTAAAAAATAAGATTCTGTGAATAAGAACATGTTTTAGGTTTTGATACCAAATTTAACTTTACAATTTTAAACTTTTTATGAAATTATCTAGTACAAGAGCAGACATTTTCACAGTTGGAATATTTTGAGTGAATAATTACTATTAACTCGTGCCACTGCCATCTTGAAGTTGTTGGAGCTGTACTGCATTGTTGACAATCTGTTTTGTGCTTCACTCTCAATTTTTAAACTAATTTTGGTCGTGTCTGAAGTCCTCTATCTGGATTGGTTTTTCAGAAACAAATATTGGAAAAAACATCTAAGGCTCAAGTTTATTTATGGGGCATGCTTAATTCATTTGTTGAAATCTGTTGCCAATTGAAGTTTTCATATGTAATTTCACCAATTGTACTGCAATTGAGGTGCAGCACCACAAGGGTGATCAATTAGATGAAGTTAGTAGAAGTTGTAAAAGGTGAATAGACAGGTTGTCAGTGGTGCGGGGAACAAAAACTTGTTCCTTTGATAGCCTGTTTTCGATATGCACTATGTTTTATATAAATTCTAAAGGTCACAGACTCCATATTACTGTGGAAATGTGTTGGACAGATTCACGGATGTTTTATGTTAAATGTGTAGGCTGGAGCCCTCTCGTGAATTTCAGCATGCATGGCAAGGATCACTGCCCCGAACAAGTAATTTGTGCAATTAAAGTAGGAATTGTAAATTTGACATCTTTCTACTTTTCATAGTACATGCTTACAAAAGTAGACTGGTTCTGTTGTGTTGGCTAAATCAATCCCCATCTCATTTTTAAAATCCCTGAGGTTGGTACTGTGACAAAGGAGGAACAAAAGTGGCATCTGTTCCTGGTAGTAAAGTACTAAAATATATATTTTGACTTTATAACATGTAGATAAAATGATGACCCCCGTTGACCCTATAAAATAAAGTTTTGTGAAATGACAAATAAATACTAATATACTGCAATATCTGAAGGAACTAAGATATGGTCTGCAAAAAAAGTGCTAAGTAGTCAAAATAAGTTGAATTTAATGACATATAACAAAACACATGCAACATAAAACAAAATTTAATGTACATTATGAAAAAATATGCACTAATTATGAATTATTTTATACATACATAAGGGATGATACAATATTGCTTTAAGTGTATTTGATAAAACTTCTGTTGATGAATGACACATGCGATGAACATGACTAGAGTAATTTAATAATGGGAAAGTGGCAATGGCTTGTAAAGTCAAACATTGGCGGATTAGCAGAATCTCTTTTATGGCCTCCAGCTAGTAGTTTCAGCACTACAAAGTTTGTTTTAGCAACTTTCAGAAGATCATTGACCTTGAACAAAGAAAAGTGTGCATGTTACAACATGGAAATATTGCCTTAAAAATATTCATTTTTTTAAATAAAATTAATGTCATCACTCTTGACCTAAAAAATTATTCATAAAAATAAAATAGCATGTAAATTTTTGTATACACATGTAAGATTAATTTTCGTCCATGCTGAATTTTGTGTTGAATGCCAAAAGATGTGGTAAGGGAATGCTAAATGCCACAATAGCAAACTCTAGATTTTGTACAATGCTGAAATGTTATGAAATTATTAACACTACCATTTCTTTTCTTTCTTTCTTGTTTTGATGAAATATGATCTGCTGTAGAATCTTCCTCCTAATTTATGGGTAAATTACTTTCCTTCTTCACTTCCCAACTCTACGCTCTTTCAAATCCACCCTTATCCACCCTTCATTGATCTATCCATCAGTTGGAAAACTCCGTTCAAATTCCAATGAAACTGGCACAGAAGACTCTTGTCCAAGCATCCATAGCTGAGTGTGTATGCCTTGTACATTGATTAAAATTTATCAAATAATGATAAAAGGAAAACAAGCTGATACGCACATATCCCATAATTGTTTCAAAACATTAATTATTAGTTATCACAACATCACATCATCAAGCTGTCCAAATCAGAGCTATCACCATTATGTCATACCACAGCTAATATGTCACCCCCTCCTTCAATTATTAGGTTGCACAAACAAAGGTCCAATTTATTCTTAGACTAAAATCAAGGTATCCTTAATAACAAAGCTTGTGAGGGAGAGCATTCAACTCATTTACTATAAAATGTGATCAATGACTCTTTTGCAGCTCCTTTAAGTCTCTGATCTGAAGCTCTTGTGTATACGTAGTGTCTCAAATTGGGGTACATTATAGATCCCAAGTAGGATCTCCTAGGTCTCTACTATATCTTCTCACTTCCTCCTCTGCTCTAAGGTCATAAGAGAGATCTCATGGCACCTTTCTTTATAAGATAATTAACGATATTCTTTTGGGATTTTTGTCTCTGGACTTTTTCTAAAAGGGGAATTCTTTTTGAGGGATCATACAGCACTTTTGAATACTCCAGCACAAGCCAGATATATGTAAGTAGTGTGGATTTTCTTTATTGCTGATGTTCGCAAAGAGAAAAAATTTTTGCTAAATGTTAAGTTTTTGCTAATCATTGTGCTGGCCCATTTAGTGTCTGAGTCCACATGACTCTCCCATTTCAAATCAAGGGATTAACTTCAAGATCATTCTGTTGCAATATTGTGTCAAGGGATTTCCAATGTAATTGAACTGTGGATTATTTTTTCCTAAATGTAGAATTTTGCACTTACTGTGAGAAAGTTACCATGTTTCCGACCATAAATTTAACAGATTAGTCCCTGGTTTGGGTTAGCAAATAACTTAGTGACATCAGCATAACTGTTCTAGTCAGAAGAAAGTTCATCTCCGATGGCGCTCATGTACAGGGCGAATAGTAATGGTCCTGGGGTTGGTCTCCATCCATATCTTTTGTCCAAACATGAAGCAACCTTCTCAGATTTGCTGTTGTCTATCTTCAGCAATGAAACTTTCCTGTTGTTTTCGAATATAGTTGTTTCTTTGTTAAAAGTCACAAAGCTTCCAGACAATCAATCACTCCACAACTTTTCCTTCTGAATTAGTGAGACTTATAGGTCTGTAATTGTCATTTTCTGTTTGTCACTTTCTTGAAAATCAGTGTTGTAGTTGCTTTTATTCATATAGAAATATTTCTGTGACCAAGGATTTCCTGAAGGTACTGTTCAACAGTGGTGGCAACTCAATTGCACAATGTTTAAGGTATAAAGTTAAGATAATATTAGGGCCTGCTGAAGAGTTAGCACATGACCCACATTTTACCCTTGCAGTTCTGTCATCTGAAAAATCCAGATTCAGTGCCTGTATCTTTCAGAGTTGGGAGTTGATCAACAGAGTCGGGCATGTAGATCTCCTCAAAATAATCTGAAAAGCATTCTGCAATTTTAAATCCATCTAGGACAATTTGTTCTTCATACCTTCTACATGGTCCTACTTCAGTTAGTCTTTTGGAGACAGCCCAATAAACAATATACTGCTCCTATGCACCAATATGCTCATACCTCAACCAAGTTGTTGTTCAGTTCTGACATGTCTCTTGACTTATCATTAGTTAGCACCAGGTCCTAGCAGGTGTTTCATTTATTCGAAGTCAAGTAGGTTCAGAAATCAACTGAGTAAGATTGAAGTCAATGTTCTGTTATAAAAACTCTCTATTGCGGTACTTGGGGTGACATTTTCTGTCCCTATAATTAAGGGAAAATTGCAATCTCCAGAAATTAGAACAGGTAATTCACTTACAGCAAGCATTGCCTAGGCCTAATCTCTATAAACTCCTCCAATCAAAATTCACATGTTAGCAATTTTCAATTGTAGCTCTAATGCTCCTACTTTAGGGTAATTAATTTAACGAACCTCAGTCATTCTTGCAATCTTCTCACCTAGCATCCCTCACATACATAATAACTCCACAACCCCATTAGCTCAAACAATCTCTGTAATACATCAAGAAATTAGGAATAGATATCAGTGAACCAGAAATATCATGATTCTATAATTGTTATTACATCTGGATTAACAGTTTGTACTTTTAAAAGAAATTTATTTGTTTATTTATAAACAGACATTCACCCAAAATTACATACTTAGAATATCTTTCAATAATTAAACAAAATCAGTTAACAATTTTGCTTTGATTAAATTTATAAAAGAAGTTACAAGATTTGTGTAAAGATAAAATCAGGTTGATAATAAAATCAGACTGATGATAAAATCAATTGAAAAAATTAGTGTGGCAATCCATAATTTATATAATTTACATTTGACATATTTTCCATAAAGGGGCTGTTGATTCAATACCATTGATCAAATTTAGGGAGGGAAAGGAGATGTTTGTGTTCATAAATTTAGGGTACATTTCCTTAGTGCTTGTTGCTGCTTTTTGTCATTTCCCTTGCCCACAATGATTTGAGGAGATCCATTCTTATATCTAATAGCAAGATTAGGGCCTGTGGCTTGGTCTGTTCAACAGTTCTCTTCTAACATGTTTCAATGCTTGCCTTTGCATAGGGATAAGGTAATTGTTTACCCTAATACTATGCAGTAATTTTTTGCCATTCAACAAAATATCCTGACAGGTTCTATCACTGACCTCATTGTCAGTCACCTTCACAATCTACCTCCTGCACACTATAAAGAATAATGCTTCTCTGGTGCCTATCTCACTCCTCAATCTGCAATAATTGTGTAATTAGTTTAAAAAATGACTTTCTCAGCTATTGCTTCGATCTTCTTTGCTCTGACTTCATGCTTGGATTTCATTTTTTGCATTTATTTCTAATGATATGACTTTGTGGTCAGAAATTTTCTTGCCTAAGCATTCTCCCTTCACTCAAAAAGTGTCCTCAATTTTATTGTTAGTTATACAAAGCAGCCTGAATGCCATCTAATTCTGACTTCAATTATCATATGATCATAAATATTAATATATAACACAAATACTATATAATTATTTCTACATTTGAAAGTAGACTGAAAAGCTTTTACTGAATTACTGAGAATTAACAAACATAACTAATGCTCAAACATTATTCTACACTACTGTAAAGGCTACATAAGTTTAGCTAGCAGTCATTCCAGTGCTCTGTTAGCACATACTTGCTTCACTTAGCACATACTTGCTTTTTCCGTATTCCTTTAATCAATGAATATGTCTACTGCACTTTATGCTTACTCTCAAGCTCATGTAGCCTGAATACAGGAGCGCCTAAACATCTCAAAATTCTTTGAATAATTACAATACACAAAAAGTTCAAATTAAAATTATTTATCATGTTTATTAGTTAAACAACAAAATCAAATTAAAATTCACGTTTTAAAATCTTACCTCTTGATCAGGACTATTAATATTCTCCAATAACGTTCGTGCTTTGTGAAAATGTTGACAACCTTGCAAATATAAGGCAGTGCTATTGGGAGGCTGATCATATCGCACCAGTGACGTCATATCCCGAAACTCAGCATATTGCATGGGTGGTGGCGTAAGAAGACTTGCAAAAGGAGCAAATCTGTGTTCATATCGCACTTGCTCATTGTCAAATTCAGGATGAGGCAGCTTGATTTTGCCATCCAATCGAAAACCAACCATTGCCTGAGAATTAACAAACACTTATTTATATAACATTCTACGTAACTACTGGAGCTTCAACAGCACATACATTCTTGGATTATTGGTAATGACAATACAATATCATGGTTTAACAACTTCTATCCTTCTAACACTTCAGCTATCACTTGAACAATTCTAAAATTTAAGAGTTTAAATAAAAATGGTTATCTCACATTGAATTTTAAAATATTATGCTCTCTATTTCATACAAACAGTTTAAAGAAAGATAAAACTATCCCTGGGCTGAGATTTGAACTTGAATTAGTATTAGGTTCACAAGAAAAGAGTTATTCCTCTATGCTTAGGATTCTTGTGATATATGGTGTGTGTTTCATGTGCTATAATGAATCCTTATTGTAGCAGTGATTCTAACACATTGTCATGATATAACTCAAATTTACATGAAAACTACTATTATTTCAAAAAGTATACATGAAATAGAATGGACTAAGACAGCATTCTTTTCTTGAATAATGTAGTTGTACAAAGGTGTCAAAAAACTGTTGAATAACATAATTTTCAAAATTTCAGATGTTAATGAAAATTGGATATATGCTATATTATTAAGTTATATTGCTCTATTCAAGCAAAATAATTTAAAGAAAAAAATGTTTAACTATTTAAAAAAAAATTTGATTCATGTATATTTTTAGTCTTGATACACACAAAATAAAGCAAAATCTAATCTCAGTTTTAAAATATTGTACATGACTTAAAAGTCTAAGTTTGAAGAACCAATTTCATTAAGAAAACATCTAACTTCAATATTGTAGTTGTAAGATGGCAACAAAAAAATATTCAACTTTTGGAATTTTCAAAAATTCAGAGGGTTTATTATATCTTTGCCATTTTATGAGCTTACTTCGTTCTTTTCAAACAAAAAATTTGAAGAAAAATTTGAAGCAATTTTTTTAATGTCCTCCAAGCTTTAAGTATTGTACATTCATAAATTATAAGATTTGTTTCAAATTCCATGACACCAGTTACATCAATTTAGGGAATACCCATTTTAGTGAGAAGCCTTAATGCAGTTTAGAACACTCCTTCCCTTATGTACTTCTGTCAAAAAGTCTACACTTTTTCTATGGCATTACAAAGCAAAATCTCAGCTTCCTCTTTACTACATAGGAGTATTCAAGAGAGATAAATGAAAAGACTACAAAAAAAAGTATTACCAGGGAAATTTGCAGGGCAGATAAAGAGGAAGAAATTACATTACAAATTACAAAATAAATAAATTATGTATGAAACAAAAGGGATGGTGGAATGGAGCTGTAACGGATATAATCAATAAAGAAATAAAAATAATGAAAGGAGAAGAGTTTCAATACATATGATACAGAATATAACAAAACCCAAAGGCAAAACTTCAAGAAGGAATTTTTCAAGTCCAGAACTAATTCTACAACTTCCAATAAAATATTGTATGCTTTACTCTTGAACACCTTCTTAATTACATTTTAACTACAAACTTATGAAATCTTTTCTGCATGTGAACTCCTAAAGTGGTATTAAATCAGTTTAGTCATTGAATTCTGAAACATCCTATAAGTTTTACATGAATTTAAAAAAATGTAATTTTTAGGTTATTACTAAAAATTAGGTTAAGCTTTAGGTTATTACGAAAATGTATTTGTTACACAAATAATTTTAGGCCACACCCTGCATGGTCCACATAATGAAGTAATTTTCTTTAAGAATAAAATAGTGAGAAATACATAACTATTAAGTTTTCTTACTTTATAAAGGCCACCACAAATGTTCTGCAGAGCTTGGTAAACAGTGATTTCTCGACCATAAGGCCTTGCTTTCTTCTTCTTTGCTTTGTTTTTCTTTGCTCCACGACCTTTGTGACCAACTACAATTTCCTCTTGCTCTATTAGAAAATTATCTGCACGGGTCAGAGCAGATACTAACCATCCATATAGAAATTCATACATGTACCTGAAATAATTACTAACTGAAAATACTGTTCCTAAAACTACACCAACTACAATGAAAATCAAAAATTAATTTCACCCTACCAGAATATGTAATGGTATTCATGTGTACTATACAGTTCTAGCTCAAAACCAGAAAGTAAGTACATAATCATGATTTTTAAGGTATGATATAAGATCCATGTGCCAAAACACGCAAGGTGAGGTCTTGGAGTATCTGATTTAAGAGATAAATTATGAAGATATGCATCCACTCGTTCAGCCTGTTAAAACAAAATAAGAAAATAATGTTTATATTCTATTACATACTAACAAAGATAATAGTTACATTACGATAATACATTTTATTGAAAAAAAAAAAGGAACGGTAGTGATAAGGCATGTATGGGATCATGGGGAATTGTAAGAAGGAAGTGTGCATGTGAATGGAGGAAAGGGATGAGCATCTGTGATAGCTGAGTTGGATCTATTATGCCATGGATGAGAGAGAGGAGAGAGACAGACAGACAGACAGACAGACCAGTTGTACTTTTGGTGACATTTTGATTTAATTGTATTGTCCCCAATTCACTCTTATATATTTCATTGCCACACACTAGCGTTGCCAATGGAAGGGCAAAGTGAAGGCTTGTATCACTTTTTGATCACTAGCTTTAATTACTTTTTTTATTTAAAATACAGTCTGGATCATCTAACAAAAATATTGCAACAATCTTTAACCTTCCTAATGAAAGGCTTGTATCAAATACTTGTGATTCTATTTTGAAACCTTTTAAAAAATACATTTTTTCAATTTGTTTTACAGTAAATAAACTTACTAGGTAAGATCTGATTGAACATCATACTTTGACAGATGCACGGAAACTGCAACAGTTACACAGGAATCAACTTGTTTTGATACTTGATGGCACTTACATTAAACATCAAAAAAGTACTAACAATGAGTGGCAACAAAAGGATACTCTCAACAAAAAAGAATTCCATTTTGCAATTCTATTACTGTTTGCACTACTGATGGATATGTTGATGATTGTTGTGAGTCTTTTGAAGCAATAAAAAATAATGCTGAAATTACGCAAAAAGTTTTGAATGAACCAAAGGGTATCATTACCTTAATGAAACCTGGCAATATTGTTGATCATGAATTCTGAGATGTAATAAATCTATTAGAAGAAATATTTTAAAGATCTTATGCCAGCATTAAAAGGTAAAAGAAAACAATTACCTACCAATGAGTCATCTCTCATCATTATCAAATTACGCTGAGTTGTTGAAGCCATCAATGCACAAATCAGTCAAAAGTTCAAATTACTACACAACCATTTTGTTAATAAGATGCTTCCAAAAGTTTCTGTGTATTGCAGAATTGCCAACTTTTTAAACAATGAATTTGGCAAACGATTGAATTCAGATTATGGCGTGTGTGTTGAGATTGTTAATATGTTAAATCCAAACAAAAAAGTGTTTTGGAATGCTTGTTGATAAAGTAGAAAAAGGAGATTGAAAAAAAAAACATTCCATTTAATAAATTAACATTAAATAACAAATGATTTTCATGAATTGCACAAAGAAAAGAGCTTAAAATTCTTTTTTCTGGAACACCAGTTTTGTCAAGTCCTGTGGTACTTGGCTGAGATGATTAGCGATGAAAATTAAATTGATTTGGAATATGTCAAAACACAACAAAATATAATTATTAAAGTGTGCATAAGATCCCGGCATAATAAGAGCAAATCTTACAAGTGCTATACAGAATACAAGCCATTTACTAGTGCATGTGCTGGGATTCAATGTTACACATGTGAATGTCCTAACGGATTAAGAACAGTTGAAAAATGTTCGCATGTCACAGCTGTATTATATTATCTATCGAATACAAGATATCAAAGCAAAATTCTTAGGCCTGCTGTGAAGCTATCGGAACTTTTCAATCATGAAGAGATCTACCCATATATTGATGAGTGATGATGACGAAGGTGAAAACTAAGAAGGAATAGTAAGAATTAAAAGAATACATAAATTGCACAAAAAAATTGAAAACTAATTTAAAGAGCTATATATTTGTAATATTAATATATTGTATTGTATTAATTGTTTAAATATGGCTTCCATAATTTGCGAAAACTTTTTAAAAAAACTTTTTCCTAATTTTAAAATAATTTTTTTAAAATTTATTCTAATGAATTATATCTTATGTATAAATTACCCTTTTTCCTTTATACAAAACTTAAATGTATTACAATTACGCATACTCTAAGGTGTATGAAATGTAAATTGGTAGTTCAAACAGATCGAAGAAAACATAATTTTTCTATCAATTCAGAAAAAAAAGAAAAGAAAATTGTGAGTTAAAAATCACACAAGCTGATAATATGACAGTTTATTAAGCGATGAAAAAATATATATATATATATATATA